CAAATAGGGCTTGAGTGACCTTGAACTTGTGGGTTAGGGAGAATAATTGGAGGAGGTGGAGGGAGTGAAGAATGATTTTCGGGACATCATCTTCATTAGGAAAGTTTGTTCCAAGAGTTTTGGGAAGATCATAATTGTCTGAACCAGACATCTTTTTGGGAGATATTCAAGATAGTTGATTTAAAGTCCTTAATATAACACCCAATATGAAATATTAAGGCTAGGACCCAACACAATATTTTATAACTTGGAAGAGGGATGCTGTAATCCAAGCTATAGAATATTTGAAGGTAAGCGAATGACGATTCACCAATTTCCACCATGAAAAACGAAATAACTTATTAGGTTTTAATTGGATTTGAAACGCCTAGATCTTTTGAGATTCATTGAACTTTTCAATGGCATGTTTCAATCTCGATTGTGCCCTCTCAAATTTTGTGACTGGGATGCCGAGGATCACAAAACAAGGTGTGAATAACCATGCAAATATACTTGGTACCCTTAATATTTACCCCTCAATCGATGTGCCGATTAACCATACGCGCTCCACCGATACTATGATAAACATTAAGTTACCCTTTGCATACCTTGTTAAATCCAGGTTAGTGTGCCGGTTAACCACACACGCTCCACTAACGACTTAAGCAAAGTGCAAAGTGTAATTTCATGGGTTAGCACCAAATTTACATTTTCCTAAAGTAACTAAGATTGGGAATTTATAAAAGGTTTAGTTACTTTAGTATTTATCATTAATACTTTTAATGAAGGGAGAATTATAGTCCTTGTCCTACCCGTTCGGCTAACGACCCTCCACCAGTCAAGGAAGCGGTGGGTGAGAGTGGACACCCATTAAGTTGCCATTTTATAGGCAACAACCTTATACCCCCCTTAAAGACCGACTTTGTGAATGAGGCCTACTAACGGTAAGACTGACTTGCTCTTACATATATATATATATATATATATATATATATATATATATATATATATATATTATTAATTTATAATACTATAATGTATAAGGGTTGAATTTTAACTTTTAAAATTCTAAGGCTTAACTAGGAATTAAAATATTCATGAGGGGAAACTTTACAAATTACAAAACTTGAGGGCAAGTTTTGAACTATTCAAAAAATTTTTCAATTCCATAACTTATGTGTTTAAAGTAGTTTTAATGAAAAACTCTTCAAGTTCCATAACTTGAGGACAAGTTATGGAAGACTTTAAAACATTTAAAAACGAGACTCTCCATTTTTCATAACTTATGGAAATCTTATGAGTTTTAATAATCATAAATGTGACTTTTCATATAACTTGAGGACAAGTTACAAAAACACATATTATGAACAACTTTTAGATTAATTTGGATTGAAAACATATTATCAGATAACTTTTCTGTTAATCTAAATCAACTCATAAGAACAAGATAATTCAAATCAAACACTTTTTCATGTAATTAGCCTAATCATTAAACTAATACAAAACATGAATCTATTGAAAATTATCTATGAAATTGGATTAGCATGAACATTACCACATCAAAAACAGGTTTACAAGTTCAAAAACAGCTTAGGGTAATGTTCCTAGTCCAATTCCAGCCTTAAAAGTCGAAAATATGCTGTCAGGGGCTCCTACTCGTCGAGTGTATGAACCTACTCGACGAGTAGGATGATTTTCCTCATGGACTCGGCGAGTTCATCAGTGGACTCGGCGAGTCCAGTGCCCAGACAGCCAAAAAATTGATTTTTCAGTTTTTTTCAGCAATTTGCATCAAGTATAATTGAAAACAAGCCTAGGCTCTGATACCACTGAAGGGTTTTGAGCATTCTAACACTCCTAAGGTGTACATGCAACCCTAAATACCTTGGATCTATGTTTTCTCTATTATACATGAAAATATCAATTTTCCAAGGTATTGTTCTAGCTAGCATATTATGAAGAACATATAATATAACTTCTAGTAGAATTACATACCTCTTTGTTGTAGCTTGATTCCATGGCGCTTAAGAGCCTAGTGCCTCAAGTGTGACACCTCAAATGGTTCACACAACATCACCAACATCTTGGAATAACTTGAGAGAAAAGGTTCCTATGCTCAAATTGGCTAGCCCTCATGTGTACACACACTAGTGCCAATTTCTTGAGCCATGGGGTCCTTATATATGGTGGCTATTAGGGTTACACCATGTAACTCATGTCTTTCCATATTCTTCATGCTCCATGGGTTAAAACCTCCATGGAGTATCCATGGGTTACTCCATGGGTTTAGCCCAACATGAAGAACTATGGATCATAAGCCCACATATATAAGAATGAATGATTTACACAATCAATCCCCATATATTTAATTAGTCTCCTTTTGATCACAATATTAATTCCAAATTAATTCTTGATCAATACTAATTAAATAATATGATTTCATATTAATATATTAGAACTTATAATATATTAACAAATCATAAATATCATTTTCTCACAAAAAATCTATCCAAATTGTTCCGATGCCATGCAACCCAAATGGACCATGCCAATCGGGTCAAGTACATACCAATTATAGTTATGGACTTAGACACTAATCCAAAAATTTGGTAGCATTAAGGAGGGGATCATGGAGCTACTGGATGAGCGGCTTGGGGATTTCTGTGTTGAAATTGCGGTGGGTCAGTTGGGGGCTCGAACTGTATCTTTTTGGGGGTTCAAGGCTTGCGGATCCCCAAAGTTCTTCAGGAAGAAGGACCCTATTGCTAGTACGGAGTGGATTGACATGGAGAATGATCAGCAGACTAGTTTTTTCCATGAGAGATCGAATGTGGCAGCCATGTCTTTGACCCTATTGCTAGTAGTTTTTTACCTTCTGAGGGATGGAACCCGCGACTGGTGGGAAGAGCTTGGTCACTCCTTGGGAGCAGAAGCTGTGGCAGCCATGTCTTGGGATGATTTTGTGACAAGGTTTAGGGTAGATTTTCCACATGCTGTTGAGGTGCAACAATTAGAGAGGGAGTTTCGGGACCTTCGCCAGATAACAGAGACCGTGCCAGAGATCACCACCAAGTTCAGGGAGAGAAGTTTGTTGGTCCCGCAGTACGCTGCAGATGAGGAGATGAAGAAGACGAGGTACCATGATATACTTGCTGGATTAAGGTGTCTAAGCTCATAACTACATTGGTATATACCTGTAATTAAAAACAAAGTCCTCTTTGGGTTTCCCTCATGACCAGAAACATCTAGAAATGATATTAGGAGAAAGAAGGACAATTTATTAGATTATTATATTATTAATAAACTAATTTAAAACTATGGGCAAATATTTTTTAATATATTATATGATTAATATATTAATTGAAAATAGATACTTGATTTGTTAATTTATTATGTGATTAATAAATTAATATGGGATTAATTGTTAAATTATTGATTTGTTAATTTATATGATTAATCAATTAATATTAAATCAACTAGAATTGATTAATTATTAATCAGAATTAATTTGGAATTAATTCAGTATTAATTGGAATTAATTAAAGGTGCAATGAGCGAATTATAATTGTGTAATAGTTGAACAAAAGAAGCAATTCTAGAACTCTCCTTGGTATGGACGGTTTTGGAGGGTTTCCTAGGGTTTCTGGAAGCATCCTAGTTGTATAAAAGGAAATTATTTGAATTATGATTAAATCTGTTATTTAATACATTCAAATCTTGTTTTGCTTACAAGTTACCTAAGCTTTAAATAGTACCCCTTGGCTTGCAAATTTCGTTCATGACATTACCTATAAGCATATGAACAAAATTTCTCTCATATCTCATATCTCATCCTCATTCTATGGATTCTGGTTTTGGGTGTTAGCCATTAGAGGCATCATCCTTTTAGTGCTAGTTTTCCAAGACCAACAAACATAGGGGATTGAAATGATTTATTTGCTATAATAAATTTAAAGGTATGTAAACCCTAATTCATGAATTTCGATTTTCATTGAGTTCCTTTAGGTTTTTGAAATTCATAGTATGTTGCTATCAATTAGAGAAAACATAGATCCTTTATAGGTTGTATGTGAACTTCAGGGTTAAGATTTTCCGCTTTACATGTTTTTTTGATAACCTATAAAACCCATCAATAGTATGAAACCTATTGTTTTCAATTGACTAGTGCATGAGATGAATTGGTCTTGATTGGGGTTTATCGAAAATAAACCATTGCTATTGCAAATTTCGACCTTAGCTTAGGTTTCTCGAAACATAGCCTCCTTCCCTTTGTTTTCGAAAATTGCCTTAGGGTTTCCTTAGGGTTTATAGTTTCCTTAATTATTATTTTAATTGTCTTAAAAATTGAATAGATAAAACTTGGTAACCCTTAATCCTAATTTTTGAAAATTAGAAGGTAGGGATGAGGATCCGAGTTCGTATGCACTTGGGGCATTCAATTCTCTTCCCGGACCTTTCCTTCAAATCGTCCCATATATCTTTAGTGGTGATAGCATATTTTACGCTATTCTTGATTTCCTTCTCCGTTGCGTTAACGAGCCAACCTCAACGAATCCAATTTTATTTGAAGCAAATAATTGTTGGTCATCTCGTTCACCCAGTCGCTATAGTTGCCGTCGTTTAGCAGTTACCGCCAATGAAGTTGAGCTCGGGGTGATCCGCCGATGTGTGTAAATATGGTGAAGATATGTCGATTGCTTTTTCTCCGGTTGGTGGCGGAGGATTGCTGCCAGATTTATTTTAATTTCGATTTCTTATTATGAGCCTTGCCCCTGATACGATAATAATTTTGAACTTGATAATAATCTTATTGCCAACTGAAACAACCACTACATAAATACGAGAAAAACAAAAGTAAATTAGGAAACTATCTACGTACGAAACTTAGGCTGCATGATGAAGTAAATAAGGAAAGTAAATATGAAATATAATACTATACGTATACGAATTAAAACAGTATATAGATAAGTCATGGTGTCAGGTTAAAGCAAACAATTGATTTATTTAGAATTTTGGGAGAAATGGAGAAAAGGGGAGTCGACGACGTACCGGCCATCGGCATTGACCTCGGAACAACCTACTCATGTGTCGCCGTTTGGAAGCATGATCGCATCGAAATCATTCCCAATAATCAAGGCAATAGAACGACACCGTCTTGTGTTGCTTTCGTTGATGAAGCACGTTTCATTGGCGATGGCGCCAAGAACCAAGCGGCTATGAACCCTGCTAACACCATATTTGGTGAGTTTTTTTTTTGTTTTTTTTGGAAACTCTATATTTAAGAAACAGTCCGCTAGATCAGAATCATCAACAGTGGACTCTAATACATTTAAGTCCACCAAAGTCTTGATCCTTGTTATAAACTAATCTTTTGAGTTTTGAAGCAATGTTACGTACCCCAATTGTTCCATTATAAAGTTCATCAAGGGTTTTTTAAACACTACACTGCTTTTTTGTTTGAGAATGGTGGAAAGTCTTAATTACATTAATTTAGTGCATGTGAGCACAATTATAGTATATTTTCATTCTGTCGTGGACTGGCATCTCTTTCTTTGCATATTCTTTTACATATTACTTTGGTTTTTAAATATCAACCAAGAAATCTACTCCTAGATCGCCGGTTTAGGGTCTTAAAATCTGATATAGTTGATTTCCATAATTTCACTTTGCTAATGGCTGTATTAATTAACTGCGTATGTTCAGATGCCAAGAGGTTGATTGGAAGGAGGTTCAGTGATTCCAAAGTGCAGGATGACATGAAATTGTGGCCTTTTAAGGTCGTAGAAGGTCCAGCCGACACACCAAAGATAGTTATCTCCTACAAAGGAAAAACGAAGGAATTTTTGGCTGAAGAAATTTCATCCATGATTCTTGGGAAGATGAAAGAAACTGCTGAGTCATACCTTGGAAAAGTTGTAAGAGATGCTGTGATAACGGTTCCGGCTTACTTTAATGATTCACAACGTCAAGCAACAAAGGATGCTGGAGCCATTGCTGGACTCAACATCATTAGCATGATCAATGAGCCTACAGCAGCTGCAATTGCTTATGGTCTAGAGCTCTTCAAAACTAAAGAGAGAAAGAAGAATGTTCTTGTGTTTGATCTTGGTGGTGGGACTTTTGATGTCTCTATATTGACCATACTGGAAGGGGGTACGTTTGAGGTGAAAGCCGTTGCTGGTGACACCCATTTAGGAGGCGAGGATTTCGATAACCGCATGGTGGATCACTGTGTTCGAGAATTCAAAAGGAAATGGGAAAAAGACTTGACACCTAACAAAAAAGCATTGGGGAGACTTAGATGTGCTTGTGAGAAAGCAAAAAGGATTCTCTAATGTGATACACAGACTTCAATCGAGCTAGATTGCTTACATGAGGGGATTGATTTCTCTATGAAATTCAGTCGAGCTAAATTTGAAGAGCTCAACATGGATTATTTTGATCAGTGCATGAAGACTCTAGAGACATGTTTAAGTGATGCAAAGATGGAGATTTCATGGGTAAGCGATGTGATTCTTGTTGGTGGTTCAACTAGAATACCAAAGATCCAATCTATGTTGCAGAAACTTTTCTACTGGAAGGAGTTATACAAGAGCCTAAACCCCGATGAGGCTGTTGCATATGGCGCAGCAGTTTTGGGTGCAAAGTTAAGTAGTAACAGTGATAAAAGGTGTAGAGATTTAGTGTTATTAGATGTCACTCCTTTGTCCCTTGGTGTAGAAACACAAGGGGAAAGATTTGATGTGGTGATCCCACGGAACACTCAGATACCTATGAAGAAATCAAAAATTTATGTTACATGCGCTGACAACCAAACTTTCGAGGATATGAAGGTGTATCAAGGTGAAAGAGCTAGATCTAAAGATAACCATTTATTGGGGATGTTGAAAGTTTCCGGAATACCACCGGCTCCAAAAGGAGTTGCAAAACTCCATGTGTGCCTTGAAATAGATGCAAATGGTATCATCACAGTCACAGTGGAGATATTATCAACCGGTAAGATGAGTAAACTCAGGATTACCAACGAAAATGGAAGACTCTCCAAGGAAGAGATTGAGAAGATGATTAAAGATGCTGAGAAGTACAAACACAAGGATGAAGAATACAATAAGAAAGTTAGTGCATTCAATGCTTTAGAGGATTGCATATACAACATGAAGACGAAGATCAAAAATATGGCGTATGGTGTGAGGTTGAATGAAATGGAGCACGTGATTGCTGACACGACCAAGTGGACCGAGAACCACCAAGATGCATCTGTTGATAAGGTTCAAGCAATGAAGGAATATCTAGAGTCTATATGCATGTGAGAATTTTAGTTCTCAAATCATGGTCCTTAATTCAACTAGGGTAACTTATAAGGTGGTCTTTCTTTCATTGGTTTATGTTAAACATGTTGTGCAACTCATGAATTTTGGAATGGTATTTCGATCTGCTGCTCATGTAAGTGTTAGTTTTCTGTTACAATTAGTTACAAGGGTAGTTTAGTCTTTTATTACTCAAGTTTGTTAGAAGTTAGTTTTGATCAATTTCTTCTTTCTACGGATATATATATATATATATATATATATATATATATATATATATATATATATATATATACACACACACACACTAGTTACCCGCACAAAGCGGCGGCGACGAATAATTTCTGAACAATGATTAATTAATTTCGATGAATAGTTTGCTTATATAGAGAGGGGTGAAGAATAGTTTCTTGTTATAGTTTACCTTTAGACCATTGTAATTTGAAGTGCATAGATAGTTGATTGTTTATCATAGTTAATACATTTGAAATCGAGAGTACATAGTGATAAAAGGCGACGAATAATTATTTTTTTCTCGTGAAAATTTCCGTTTGGCCATCATTTTGTTTTTGAAATACTCTAAAGATCATATAATTAACTCAATTATTTTTTTAACGTGAAATTTTCCCTTTGGCCATCATTTTGTTTTTGATATACTCTAACGATTATAAAATTAACTCAAAAATATAAGTTACCATTAATATATATATTTAATGTATGTTATTCTTTTTGCTTTAGATTGGAAAATTTAAAATAAAAAAAATGCAACCCCTCTGTTTTTAGTTTCAACTGAAAACAATAATATAGCTATATTTTTAACTCACAACATAAAAACGTATATTAATTTTAAAATAAAGTTATTAATTTATATTCGACATTATTATTTTATTAGTATTTTTTATCTAGTGTCGTAACAAACGGTTGTTATTTGTGTAATTTGTTTGATGTGCTTGATCATATTACTATTTAAAAAAGGATAGATTTTTTAGTTAAGCTTTTGAAGATATTGCAATTAACATTAATGTCATTATCTAAAACTTCAAAGATTTTTTTATTATACATATGACTTATATTTTATATGTAAAAACTATTTTTTTTATTTGAATCTATTTTATTTAAAATGTAAAACGGAATACAAAAGAAAATAATTGTTTAGTTAATGAATAATTGAATCGATTTACTTTTAAGAGGTTAATGTAATAAATTGATTTATTTATTTCCATTAGTTAATTATATTAATTAACCAGAATGTGAAGACATGGAATGCTTATCACCATATAACGCATTTTACTACAACTTAAAGCAATTAAACAATATCATATACCACATTACTCTTAGGCTTAACCCTTTTGATCTACGACAACTGAAAAACCGAAAAACATTGAAAAAACTTTGAAAAATCATGGAACATCAATGTTTATTGCATTAATTGACTTAATTTATTTAATGTGTTTAATATGTTACTCAAAAGGTTAAAGTTTAGAATGGGGCTGAATGTACATTGTTATTTCCTTCAAAAATATAAACACATATAGCTTCCATCATATCCTATTCCATAGCCTCTTGGATCAGCAAACACATTTTCCAGCAGCTAGCACCTAGATGAATTAGAGATTTTATTTCCATGATATATGGTATATTTTCTTCTCTATTGCCTTCAACATTGGTTCACCTGCTAGTTTGGAAAGACATCATGTCAAAAAATATAAGTTTATTAACTTGCTTGCTTGTATTGCTTTACCTCTTACTTTGACCATTATACCCTCCATATATATCATAATAATAGCACCAATAAACACAGATTTCATAAAAATTGAAAAAAAAAGCAAACTTGTAAGTAATAGTAAGTTATATTTTTGGGATTTCTGGCATATTATATATGCTAACATGCAAGTTACTACATTGCTTGTATTGCAGGGTGTATTATTAAAAAGAATTAAAGAGCAAGTCACCTTTGTATGAAAGTCGTGTTATAGTGCATCCGTTAAAAGCGATTAAAAGAAGAAATTAAAAACAACACATCATCTAAAAATGTACTTATATTCATATTTGGGTCTAGTATATTGGTTTTTCGAATCCACGCAAGCAACCATTTTATTTTTTTCTAACTAAACTATATGCTTTAACTTTATTTTCTCATTAAATCGTTGTATTTTAATTATGTACTTAGAAAAACATTACACTTTAAATTAATTATTTCCGGTCAATGTAATTTAGAAAAACATACATCATCAAGCCCTTCACTAAACCCGGAACATACTTGATTTTGGAAGTACAATGCCTTAACTCAAAAAAACTGAAGTTCAATTCCTCAATATAAGGAAACAAATTGAAACAAGATACCCCTATCCATGTCAAGAACATTGACGAAATGAAAAGATTTATGAGAAAACCTGACCAAAATCTAAATGTGATCCCATAATAGCATAGAGGAAAACTTCTCTTATAGAAATATCACGAGGTCAAAAAACACCATAGATATCGAGGTCAGAAAGAAATGCTACCTGAGGTTAGAGCTTTGAAATTTGAAATGAAGGTCAAATGATAAGAGAACATGGGCATATGCTAGAGGAATTTGTTGTTAAGGAGAGATTGTGGTGGTGAACGATGATGGTTAGAAGAAGTGATATGTGGTGAAGGTAGTAAAAAAGATTTAGCCAAGAGGGACTTCATAGATCATCCTGTACAAGACAAAAACTTTTATGAGAAAACAAATCGAAGAAGATTGAACAAAACTTATAACACCAAAGGATAAAATCATTTGATCCAACCATAGACTAAGAATCAGATCACAAACATGAACTTCTTTATTCATAAGAGGATCAATAGACCAAATAAATTGGGTATTTCCACAACTCTAAACATATTATGATCTGCAAACTGATGGATAAGAAGCACCAAATCTACACAAAATGATCATGGAAACGAGAATCAAAGCAATTAGAAATGCAGAAGAACACAATAAAAACCCTAGATTAAGAAAGATAGAAAGATACATGGAACGGGTCCAAAAGAATGATTTAATCGTTGCTTACCCTCAAATCGGATCGATAGTGAAAATTAGGGCTTGAAATCGTTGCAGGATCTAAAATCGTGGCAGCGTATACTAAAAAAATCAAAAATTCAACTCATTTCATGATAAAATTGATTACAATATACAATAAATCTAAATGCTTTTACCAAAATGTCGAATAGCAGAGATAGATACAATGATTACCTTTAAATCGGTATAGAGAGTGAGGAGTATATGTTTAAATCGTCGCAACTTCTAAAATCATTTGAACTCAGAGCTTGTGGAGGTGTTTGAAATGAGGGATTTGGGTTACTAAAGAGAAGGTGTGGATGTATAGATGTATATTTACAGGAGAATGAAACACCAACAATTGGAAAGTGGAAGTGAACAAAATCAACAGAGGTGTTGCAAGGAACGAAGGCTTGACATGTGTAACGATGACCATGAAATTGAGTGGTCATGCGGTGGAGAGTGAGGGAGTCGTACGGTTGGTTAAACGCCGCATATAGGGGAAACCTTTGGGAATTTAAAGGGGAAATTACCAAAATACTGGGAATTTAAAGGGGGAAACCTTTGGGAGATAAAGAACCGAAAAGGGGAGGGACTAAGTCAATTTTGACTGAATTAATTTGTTGACATATTTAAGCAGTTATGTTGACTCTATTTAAAATTTAAATGTTATGTTATGCTTATTGGGAAAGATAAGGATTACGATTTGAATCTTTCAATATTGGACATTGTGCTCTACAAACTTGTATTTATTGTGTTGTATTTTGTAACACTTAAATTATGATATTATTTTTATGATGGTTTGTTGTACTATTAGCTTAACACTTGGACGTCTTAAATCTATTTATAGAAATAGTAAGGTTTGTATAATAATATAGTAAAAGATATATATATATATATATATATATATATATATATATATATATATATATATATATACACACACACACACACACTAGCCGTTTACCCGTACTAAACGACGGGTGCGAATAGTTTTTTACGACGATTATTTTCATTCAGAAATATGTTATATTTCAAGGAACATAAGTTATTACTTTTGGTTACTGTTTCTGCTTTTAAATTATAAGGTATGTTGCTCGAATGGGTTAAAAGTGAGAGTACGTTGTTATTTTGGTTGAGATGAAGAAAGTTATGAGTTAAAAATAAAAGTAAAGTAAACTTGCCAAACTATATTCAAAACTCTCAAACTACACAAGTAAACATAAAATTAACATTAACAACATTTTTGTCACCAATTATAATAAAAATTTGTATATCTAGTAAATACATTGACATCTTTGTTTCAATAAGTTTTTAGAGAAATAAGTAAATATTCCGCACAAAAAAAAAGACAAAATAAAAGGCATCACGTTGGTCTTCCTATGCAATCATATTACAACTCCATGCATACAAAATTTATAGAATACAAAGTCTATTATTGATTATTTCATGTTTTTATAGTCCATGAATTCAATGAAAAGAAAAGAAGACAAAACACGATGGGGACCGCATCCATACGATTGTACAACAAATAAAGAAATAGGGAGGTGTACGTCCTCGATTTGTTCGATTAGAAGCTGAGAAATAAACAAAGTTTTTCAATCCATTTCCATTTATTTTTTTAACTTTTATATAGGCGTATAAAAAAAATTTATAATCCTTATTTTTTGTTTTTTCCTGCTTTGGCAGACACAGTTTGCATATCATTTGTTTTATATAACAAAAGAAGATACTTGATTTTGCAGATCTTTAAACAATGCCTGGAAGACACAACTCCCATTATCTTTTCTATAGACCTCCAAAATTACCAACCAATTCACTTGAAACATTGAGTATCAAAACTACCATCATTTTAAATCCAAGGGAAAAACCATCCTCCATTTTCAATTTTCCTCATATCTACTACGACACCGCCCAATCCTATAGAAAATATGATAATAACTTACAAATTGCAGAAAATAGCATAATAGGAACATACATA